CTTAAGCACCAGCAACTAATTGCAGTTTACTGTTGTCAGTTGAGTGGCTCTTGTACACACAAGCCACATGGTGTTTTTCTCTGCACTGCAGTAGCTTTCACGATATATTAATTTTCAAAATCTTTAATCAATACTGGTGTTTTTTTTGTTGGAGTTCTGACATGAGAAATGGATTGTGTATAAGTGCATAATGCTGTCATTTCCAAGAAGGAAATGTTTATTTCATGTGTAAAAGCCCATTGGGCCTATTAGCCTGTAAGAGGCAGTGGAAATTATTACCTCGTTAGTGGTGTTTCTTAAGGCTAGCTTCACTGTTACTAGCTCGACCTTCAGGATTTGGACATAACTCTAAATATTAAACTTTCATTCATATCCACATCGACCCAGAACAAATGCCTAGCATTTTAATTTTAAAACCTTGATTTAGTAAAACAGACTGAAGGTCATGAATATTTCCATCACTTTTTGTGTTGTGAAATGACTATGAAAATGACATTTACTTTTTTGGGGGGAATAAAATCGCAGTATATATTTTTTCTTAATTATTTTAAAATGTTCCTTTTTAAGATATGATAAACCAATTAAAAGCCATTTGTGTGGTGTGGCTTTTGTGTTCTAGCGTGGAAATCTTGCCTATAAATAGTGTTGCGCGCCTTCTTTTTAAGTTCAAATGATCAACCTCTCCTCTATTTTGCTTGGGAACTAATGTGGTAATTTTATTACACTGTTCTGTAATCAAGGCTAGACAACCAATTAATATTTATACTAAGTACACACAAAACACTAACTTTCTGTAATTTATTTAAATGGATAAACTGTTAATTAGAAAAATAATAATAAACACAACTTAACATTATTACATGGTTCTTTTAATAACAAAATTTGTACAACATATTGCACTGATTATTACGATAATTATAATGACATAATTATAATTGCATTTCAAATCGCTGTGAATACGGTAAGGCAGTATAAGCTCAGGTAAACCTCAGCTAGCACGATCATCCGATAGCTGTATGCTATGCTACTATGTAAGCTAACTAAAAAACACTAAGAACGAGAAATGTTTAAATTTACTATCTATAGCTTCGGTTATATACTAGTATATGAAACATATAAGTTAAAAAACATTAATGACTCGTTATAACGTAGTTCAAACGTCTTCTATAATAAAGTGATTTTTTCTGATTTGTAACCGCGCAGGCACTAAAGCGATTACCCATAAAACGTGCTTTGAACCAATCGAATTGCTGGGGTCCTTAGCTGGGACTCAACACTTCTGTGGGACTGGGACCCAACACTTCACCACACCGGCGGCGAGCTCTGGCGGCGTGGAGAAGTTGAAGTCAGGTCAACTTTATGGCAACTTAATGGGGTCCTTAGCTGGGACTCAACCCTTCAGTGGGACCCAACACTTCACCACACCGGCTCACATTTAAAATGAATGACTTTCGGCCACTTTGACGCTCTCGCCGGCGGCGGTGTGAAATGTATATTATAGATTTTATATATAATAATATATATTTTAAAAAATATTTATAAAAAATATTTATTATATTATATTAATTATATGTGTGTTTAACAGCATTCTGTGGTGGAAATGACTGATGAATATGGCTGTATTTTAACAATAAATTAGTTGTATTTTCTGATGCTAATTTCAGAGGTAGCATTTCATGTATCCCTAATACATACTATTATATAATATTTTCCCGCTTTTAGTTGAAAAAATACCCACCATGGTTTGCTTTTCATCCAGTTTTTGATCGTGATGAATTCTTCTAGATTTGTGCTGCAGAGCACGTACATCCTCTCAGACAGACAAATAGGTCTTGCCACTCATAAAGAAGATAGTAAAACTAGACATGAAATATGGAAGTGCCATCTGACATTCCTCTGGAGGCCGTTAAACAGCAGGGAAAAGTTGTTTGTGTTAAAATGTCGATGCTGAGCTGAAGAGATGACACAGGAAGTTGACATTCTGCTTTCTCAACCCACAATGTGACACCCGCTGCTTTCGACTCTGACTTCACAAATTCCATTTAAAGACTGGATAATGCGGCTATAATTGGGATGTTTTTGAAGCTTCGTTCATTAGGGACGGCCCGGGCATGCACAGATCCTGACCCAGAGTGCTTCAGTCATGCCCTTATAGATTTAGCGTGCAGCATTTTTCATATCTCCTAATGAATATTTCATTCTTAACTCACAGAAAGTGGTCAAAATAATCACCTCAGAACCACAGGGGCTGTAATTAAAGGAATAGAGATGCACAGAAGTGTCATTGTTTTTAGTAATGTTTTTAGTGCTTGGACTGAAGATGCATTAATCTTTATCTAAGGAATAGGTCACCCCAAAAGGATAAATCTATCTTATTTTTCTCATTTCATTCCAGACCAGTATCCGTTCTTCTGTGGAACATTAAATATGTTGAAGAATCACTTTGTTGCTCTTTTCCAGTGAAGAAACACTGACCAGGGTCTGTCAAGGACAAATAAAAGTAGTTTATTTAACTAAAAATCTTGGCTCTCAAATCTCATTTGGGGGTTTGTTTTTCTTATTTGGATTTAACTTTTAAGCATCCATTCATACATTTATATGTTTTTATTTGTAGAATAACTTTTTTTATTAGTTTATATTATAGTTAATGAAATAAGTTCATTGATTATCAGAATTATTGTAAGTAGCATATTTTTAAGGTGCTTTTGATCTTTTTGGTAGTGATGGGGGAAACAAAGCTTTTCGAAAATTTGAGTCAATTAAACCAATTGCTTTGAATAATGATTAGCTGATTCGAAGCTCTGGAAACGCCATACGCTGATAAAAAACATGGCATTTTTAACCCTCTGGGGTCCTTCATTTTTAACCCTCTGGGGTCCTTCGGCCCAAATGGACCCGAAGCATTTAATTTTTTTTTTTTTTTAAATCATTGCTTTATCGGAATGGTCCGAAATTTGGTGACTTTGTTGGTACTTGGCATATGAACACCCCAAAAAATTGGGGACAGGATTTGAATAGTCTAAGTGGTTGTAAAAAAAATAGTCACACTCAGGACCTTCGGGTCCAAATGGACCCGCATAGGAAATGAATGGGAAATTGGCAAAAATGTGAAAATACAGAGTTATTTTGTGCGTACAAACTACAAATCAGCCACGATCCAGAAAAAAAGCACACAACAGTGAAGGGGTGAATCTATAAAACATCAAGAGTGCAAAACAGACACATCCACACACACACACACACACATAAACACACTTTTATACACATACACACTAATAAATTCAGATTACATATGGGTTTTGAATTTTTAAAATGCTCGGTTTGTCCACCAGATGGCATCCATCTCATTTCAAAAATTGCTTTCATGAGGCCTAGGCTTGACTCTAAAATGAAATACAGCTTTAAAAAAAAAAAAAAAAAAAATATATATATATTTTTAATTTATATTATATTCAATGGGGAAAAAATGGGTCATAATTATTGCATTAATATTAATTATAAATCATTTTTATTTTTGAAATTATCTCAAAACACCAAAAAAGAAAAGAAAAAATATTATAAAAAACAAGTAAAAAAAAAAAAAAAAGATGATTTTTTCTTAATAAATATTAATCCCACCCTTCCGGCCCATTTGGACCCGAAGGTCCTGAGTGTGACTCTGAAATGAAGGACCCCAGAGGGTTAAACCGTGAAATAATGTGACTTTGCCAGTTTCATCTTTCAAATTACTGGTTTGAAAAATATAATGCAAAGGTTTTAAAAGGCCATCACTACTTTTTTTTTCTTTTTTTTTTTTACAAAATATCAATACTAATAGAAAGAACGTCATAACGATATGGAACAACGTCAGTGATGACCAAAATTTTCATTTGTTGGGTAAATTATATTGCTTTAAAGCGTACTTCTTTGTATCTTTACAACCAAATTCTTTTAATCGTGAATTTATGTTGGCAGCATTTTAAAAATAAAACGTGCAGGACAGGCCTTTAAACAAGAGAATGAACTTGTATACCTGAACTTTATATTAAAGACTTGTTAGAGGAACAGGCATCTCTTTCAGGAGCATCAAAGCTTCAGAAGGACCCTGAGTTAGTGTTGTCTTGTTCTTGTTTACCTGTGCTCCTGTTGACTCTAGCAAGCCTTCTCTGTGAAATGCTCCCACTAAATTGGAGTCTCTGTGAGAAAGATAAAAGCTTAAAGTTTGTGTCATCCTGTCTGGTTCTGTTCTCCTGCTGTCAAATGAACTGTCCAGGAGCTGCAGCTTCAGAAATCTCTCTGTTGTTTCCTACCCAGCTTGGGTTTTTTAGAGCACGAGAGAATCTATGAACTTCAGGAGAAGCTCTGAGGAATTCTCTGCAGGGGGCATTGACTTGATGGATCAAAGCTACTTTGAATAAGCATAGATTTAGCACTCCACAGTCTTCGTTGTGAGCAGTGCATGGTCTTGGACTTTCACCAACCCTCATGCTTCATCACCGCAAATTCCCAGTTCAAAAAACTCAAAAGAACATGCTAGGATTTTCCACACATGCCACAGCCCATAAGTTGAGTTCGCCTCAAGCTTATAGCCTTGGGTCAATCTCACGTCAAAGTCTCAGATTAAATTTTTCACTTTCCAATTTCATACTTCAAAGTTATAATGATTTAGCCATTCTATGCCGTTTTTAAGTACTTGTTTAGGCAGAACTGTGGGTTCTGGTTCTCTGTTGTAGGGCAGCTCTCTGTTGTTTTAGACATTAATGCTTGTTTTTACTTATGAGTTATGCATCCTACACCTGAAATATCGTTCTTCTGCTATTTTCGGCGCACCTTTTTTTTTTAGCTTCACTATTTTTCAGTGAAGACTCTACTCCCTGAAACAGCACTACTTTCACCTAGTTCTTGAGATAAAAACATATTTATTTGCAAAAATACCTGGGCTGTGCCATCAATTTTCCCTTTTTTGTTTTTGTTTTTTTGTTTAAGGGTTATGGGTTTGTTGTTCACATCTGTAAACCTAGGTGTGATACTAAAGCTATAATTCTTTGCTTTAATCTTTTTTCCTCTGTCTTCTCTGTGTGTTGTAGGCACACATTCTGGCAGTACCGCAAAGAGAATCCCAAGTCCCATGTAGGCGACCCTCCACCAGACGGTCTGCCCGGCTTCAACAGCGGCGTAATGCTTCTGAACCTCGAAGCCATGCGTCGCTCGACCTTATACAACCAGCTTCTGGATCCCGGGCGGATTGCCCAGCTCGCTGAGAAATACCACTTCCGAGGGCATCTGGGCGATCAGGATTTCTTCACCATGATCGGGATGGAGCACAGGGAACTGTTTTACCCACTTTCATGTGGCTGGAACCGACAGCTTTGCACTTGGTGGAGGGAACATGGGTACGGTGACGTCTTCCAGCTGTACTATCACTGCGATGGCCCGGTGCACATCTACCACGGCAATTGCAACACTCCTATACCTGATGATTGAGGGTTTTCGAATGCTACATTTTTTATTAAACTCGAGTTTTGTTTGCACATCTTGAACAAACAACTTAAAATCAAGTGGACCGAGGCAGAAGTGACTCGTCGTTAGAGGTGCTAATAGGGTAGCATTCCCATGCCTTCCACATTTACACTATATGCTCCAGCCATTACCACATTATTCATTCATTTAACACGCTTGAGGCTGTTGATGCCTGTCCAAAGTTGCTGAAAGAGATGGTTTAAATACTGGTTCTTTTTCTTTTTTTAAATTATATAGTACAGCTTTGACTCACTCTCAGTAGTTTCCTCAATCAGGTGTCTCATCGAAATCCTCTTAGACAGCAGGTTGGGAAGGAGCCAATCAGAGCGCACTTTTCCTTACCTCAATGCCACTCTGTATTATTTAAAGGTACAGTAGCTCTCTTGCAGTCACATTAAGGTACCAGTTATGTCCATAAAGCACTTTAACTGTTTTTAACCCCTCTTAACTTTAATTCTGTGCGATGCATTCCTATTTTATGCCACATTCTCCACTCCATTTCTCGGTTTTTATGCAGCGATGATGAGAAAAGATGGGGAGAAAAGGGTGTTGACCCACTTTCCTGAGATTTTTGCGTGTGTGAGCGCTGACTTTGGAAATCTGTTTTCTCTGTGATGTGCAACTGTATCGCCTTAGAAAAGCCAAGATACACTGACTGGCCAAAAAAAGTCACTGTTTGGATTTAAATAGGCAAATGTAAGAGTCCATGATTGGATCATTATTGCAGTGATTATTATGTTTCTAGCATGTTATATATTTGGCAAAGGTTTACAGAGTGTTTGACTCTTGCATTGCCAATACAAGATCTTAACCAAAAATCGATGCACCTCTTGATGACCAAAAATGAATGCACCTCTTGATAGAAATCAAGAGTTGTTGTGATGTCATTTCCAAGATCTTGTATTGACAATGCAAGAGTCAAACATTCTGTAAAGTCTCCTCCAGCACATTCCAAAGACTTTCAATGAATTTATGGTCTGGACTCAGAAGTGCCAATTCATGTGTGAAAATGATTCTTCATGCTCCTCCCAACCATTCTTTCACAATTTGAGCCTGATGAATCTTGACATTGTCATCCTGGAATATGGCTGTGATGTGTCTTTCTACATGGTTGTTTAAGAAATGAAAAGCTACACACTCCATCAATTAGGATTAGAAGAACTGTTTCCAAACATATAACATGCTAGAAACATAATAATGTTTCTACACGGCAATAATGATCAAATCAAAGACTCTTAAGACTTTGCCTATGTAAATCCAAACAGCGACTTTTTTTGGCCGGGCAGTGTAGCATCTAGAACATCTGATCGTCGGTCTAATCGGGAAAACATTTTTGCCCGCCTGAGAAATGTGGAAGTGGGATTTGCTGGAGTATTCCAAAGGGAACAGCTTCTGCCCTGAGGAAGATATGCACTAGATTTCGAGGACAGAGCACTAGCTGTTGTGGTTGGCTGGCATTTATTGAACGATGTTGCTATTGGCAAAACACTGCACAGGATTGTGTGAAATGCACGTCATAATCTCTGCAAAGTCAAATCAACAGCCCGGAGAGAAAGAACTTAGAAATGACTCCTCACATGTGTTGCCAGGCAGCCATTAGATCCCACTTCAAGCTCTTCTGTGTTAATAATTGAATATTGTGAAGTTAAGGACTGCGTGTTTTGGGATTTTCAGTTAAGTTGTTTTTTGTTTAGGTGGGAGCGCAGTCATGTTTTGTCTAGCCATTTCTGTTATCGAGACCTACTTTTGCCTGATCAAGTTAAAAGCAAAATGCTTAACTAATTAACCTTTAATCTGCTGGTCTCAGCAAAGTTTCCAATCACATGAAGTATTCTAACCTTTTTCCCTGTTTTATTTATTATGCGTTACATTGTGTCTCATCCATGAAACATGAGCAGAGCATATTTCTGTGTAAATCCTATTTTGCACATTATCATTAAAAGGTTTTGGGTCGTTAAGATGTTTTATGTTTTTGAAAGAAGTCTCTTATGATCACCAATGTTGCATCTATTTGATAACAAATACAATAAAAGCAGTAATATTGTAAAACAATATTACAATTTGATAAACTTTTTAATTTAGTTTAAAATGTAATTTATTCCTGTGATCATTACTCTAGTCTTCAGTGTTACATGATCCTTCAGAAACCATTCTAATATGCTGGTTTTCTGCTAAATAATCATTTATTATTATCATAATTTATGTTGAAAACAGCTCTGCTGCTTAATATCTTTTGTGGAAATCATTTTTTTTTTCATTCAGGATTATTTGATTAACAGAAAGTTCAAAAGAGCAGCATTTATTTGAAATAGAACTCTTTTGTAACATTATTAATGTATTTACTTACACTTTTGATCAATTTAATGCATCCTTGCTGAATAAAAGTAGTAATTTCTTTCAACAACAATAATCTTAATGACCGCAAACTTTTGAATGGTAGGGTAAATAGGCAAAAAGTCTAGTCACAATTTGTTTTATGAACAATTTACACAAAAGTGGTTTACATTTATCGTGTGTGTGTGTGTGTGTGTACCTTGTTTTTTGTGAACAAATCTTTTTCAAAGGAACCACTCAGGGAAGATTGATGGAGCAAAACAAGTTCTTAGTATGAGGAAAATATAATACAACGTCCACAAACTAGACTTATACCGAACAGGTTATTTTTCTCAATATAAACACCTGTTTGTCCTTCAATTTTGAGTATTGAATGTAAAACACTCACTTGTTGTGTCATGGAAATTGAATATTGCTAATGAACAAAATTCCAGAAGTGAAGTAGCACCAAATTTTTAATATATCTAATATATCGTTCTTTTAATTCAAATGTATTGTTGGTCAGAATAAAATGTCCAAAGTTTCTTTTACCTTTCTCTTCCTTTATGCATTAGAAATGAGCAGTAGTCTACATGTTTTTGCATGTTGTAGTGTGGCTATATATCAGTGGAGCTCTCACAATCATTAGATAACTCTCCAGTTGAATACCCAAGGATGGGTTTCTGTAATTTGATCAAGCATCCTTATGTGTTGTGCGAGGCCTGTGTCCTTCATCCCAGTTTCAACTTGTTCCAATTTTCACAACATTGTCTGAGCTGGCAGTGTTTTGCAGCATGGGTGTCCAGGAAAGCGTCGATGTGACCTAAATTCTGTCACATAACAACACAAATGCTCATCCTGTTCACCAGCTGCTTCTGAGAATCTTCTTTTGCCCTCCTGCTTTAAGTGCCCTCATGTTGTTTTTTCCAGACCTATATGTACATGTTTTATGTATAAAGCATCTCAGAATGGCAGTCTAGAAGGATCTTAAGCAGTTTATATTAACTTCATTACGATTAACAGCAAAATTAAGGGCCAATCTCTTCATCTGCCAGAGTACTATTCTTCCTGTCATTTTGTCGTAAACTCATTTGCAGTCTGAGGGCGGAGCTGTTTACTCGACACCGTTTTCAATTAAAAACGGAAAACTTTTTCTGCCTTTCATTTGCATGACAACTGTTTTTGAGAGCCTGAAAACACAAACGTTTTGATGCCGTTTTTAAGTGCAAGTTTTTGAAACTGATGCTATATCGTCTTTGTGTAAACAAAAAAAAAATTTGAATTTGTGAAAGCGGTGATTGCCATGCACATGCGTATTAAGTGTTTCTTTACAATGTGACATCGCCAACTGGCCTGGAAACCTCATAAAGCGTTTATCTTATCCATTTTTCATGCGGTTTATTATAATGTTGTGATTTCTACATTTATGTTTTAATCTATTGATTTTAGTTTTTAGTGGTTTTTACTTTTTTTTTATTCATTTAGACACATTGGCCATAATTGGTGATCAGCTAGGCTACTGTATAACATTTAACTAATCATCAGCTTATCTGTATTAGCCAGATTTTTATTATAAGTGCAACCCCCATTCAGCTTTTATTAAAATTGAATTACATCCATTCACTTTGGCGCTGCAAATCGCTGTCAGTGTGAAATCTCATTTTGAGATTTGTTCAAATCCTTAACCCTAGCAAGTCATAGTGAGTCTTGCTTTAGTTCACACATGCACATATTGCTGGTTATTAGTCGCATAGAGGGTCTGTTTTTTTTTATTTATTCCTCGGGTATGCGTCTAATCGATCAACACAGATGCATCTTTGTCAAGCACTTTTGTCATATAATTAATTCCTTCACTGATATGTTTGCACTGCAGTGTAAACGCTTATCTTGATGGATAAGAGCATCGTAAGGACTCTAATTTTGGGTCAGACTTGTGCAGCCTCTTAACTGCGCTCATCCCATTAAAATGTGATCATTGACCCTAATTTCAAGCTCATATACTGTCAGGGGCACATCACCGTGCCGTGTATCCACTCATCCGCTGCTCTGTGTAACTCGATAAGCTGAATCACGTCACACATGACTTTTCTAAAGCCCGCGAGGAGGGGATGAAGTGACCAGAGTCCTCCTTTTAGTCGGATTAAATGATGCTTTTTGTCCATCGTCTCCTCAGGCCCTCTGTTGTCAGGAAGGTGCTGGTTATTTGGGCTTTGCTCACACAAAACTGCAGGTGAGGGCAGCACTGACCTACATTAATGTAGCACAAAAACCTATTTTTCCACTCTTCAAATCCTATTCTGGTGCTTTTAGTTATATACCTAGGTTTATTGTCATGAAAGCACCAGGCGCTTCTGTTGTTTGTTTGCCCTATAAATCTGAAAATAAGTTATATAAAATTCGTCCAGGTGCATTTTTATAAAATTAAATGATCCACGAACAGAGTCAGGACATTTAGTTATGGACATTTAGCTCCAAAGACAATAATAATTTTTGACAATTGCCCATTGTGTGCATATTTTAAATGTACACCTTAAAGCGATAGTTCACCCAAAAATGAATATTCTTTCATGTACTCAACCTCATGTCATTCCAAACATGTAACGCATGCAACACACAAAATATTTTTTTTTTGTCCATACAATGAAATGATGGGGTCCAATGTTGTTTTGGACTCTATTGACTTTCATTTTATGAACATAAACAGTTGAATTCTTCAGAAAGAAAGAAAGATTTGGAATGACTTGAAGGTGAGTGAACTATCCCTTGAAATGATCATAATCTAATTCTCCTACAGATAAATTGGTAGAACATGCGATTATTTGTGATATTCCATTAACTTCTGTTCTTTTATTTGATAGGGACATATTCAGACTGGTGCTGTGACTCACTGTGCTGAACATTGGGACCTTTTAAATTTAAATGTATCCAAATGAACATCATTTCAATCCCCCCCCCCAAGCCCCCCCCCCCCCCCCCCCCCCCCCCAGAGCTCTGTGTGTAGTCAGAAGTGCTGCGGGATAATAAGAATTCATCAGAACTCTTCTCTTTGAATCGCAGTGCTACATCAAGGGGAGGTAAGAAAAGACAAGACGTATCCCATTGAGAATTAGTTGACA